GGAGGGTGGGGGGGGGGATGCGTGACGTCAGCAGGCACACTGCGTGACGCTGCCGCATGCGGGTGACATCACAGATGTGACGTCACAGCTCACTTGCCGTGCAAAAATATCCATTATTGCGAACCCCCCCCCCCCCAAAATACAAGAGTCTATTTTTATACTTTATGCTTTGTGTACAGTCTGGAAGCTACCCACATGCCACATTTTAAGTTTGTTGCATGTTGGGAAGTATGCTATATATTCACAAATGTCCCTTTTATATATATGGATCCCTCACTCGGAGGCTCTACAGAGGGTGATAGAACACAGCGACCCATAGAGACGCGGAGACAGCGAGGTGGGCAGACACACAGAGCGAGAGAGCAATAGAGACTGAGAGACACGGGGACTCAGACATAGATGGACACAGACAGACACACAGAGCGAGAGAGAGAGAGCAATAGAGACTGAGAGACACGGGGACTCAGACATAGATGGACACAGACAGACACACAGAGCGAGAGAGAGAGAGCAATAGAGACTTAGAGACACGGGGACTCAGACATAGATGGACACAGACAGACACACAGAGCGAGAGAGAGAGCAATAGAGACTGAGAGACACGGGGACTCAGACATAGATGGACACAGACAGACACACAGAGCGAGAGAGAGAGAGAGAGAGCAATAGAGACTGAGAGACACGGGGACTCAGACATAGATGGACACAGACAGACACACAGAGCGAGAGAGAGAGCAATAGAGACTTAGAGACACGGGGACTCAGACATAGATGGACACAGACAGACACACAGAGCGAGAGAGAGAGAGCAATAGAGAATGAGAGACACGGGGACTTAGACATAGATGGACACAGACAGACACACAGAGCGAGAGAGAGAGCAATAGAGACTGAGAGACACGGGGACTCAGACATAGATGGACACAGACAGACACACAGAGCGAGAGAGAGCAATAGAGACTGAGAGACACGGGACTCAGACATAGATGGACACAGACAGACACACAGAGCGAGAGAGAGAGCAATAGAGACTGAGAGACACGGGTACTCAGACATAGATGGACACAGACAGACACACAGAGCGAGAGAGAGAGAGAGCAATAGAGACTGAGAGACACGGGGACTCAGACATAGATGGACACAGACAGACACACAGAGCGAGAGAGAGAGAGCAATAGAGACTGAGAGACACGGGGACTCAGACATAGATGGACACAGACAGACACACAGAGCGAGAGAGAGAGAGCAATAGAGACTGAGAGACACGGGGACTCAGACATAGATGGACGCAGACAGACAAAGATAGTGAGACCGATATACAGACAGACAGACACAATAAAAAAAATACAATAACTAAGATAGACGCCTCTAGATACTGTAGCGACAGACACAGACAGACTCACTGACAGAAACACAGACACATCAACAGCCAGACACAACAACAGTCAGACACACACCAGTAGTGAGACACACAACAACAGCCACACACAGAACAGGTCAGACACACAACAACAGCCAGACACACAACAACAGTCAGACACACACAACAGTCAGACACACAACGACAGTCAGACACGCAACAACAGTCAGACACACAAACAACAGTAAGATACACACAACAGTCAGACTCACACAACAGTCAGACACACAACGACAGTCAGACACACAACAACAGTCAGACACACACAACAGTCAGACACACAACAGCCGTTAGATACACAACAGTCGGACACAACAACAACAACAACAACAGACACAACAACAATCAGACACAACAACAGTCACACACAACAACAGTCACACACAACAACAGCAGTCAGACGACACACCGATCGACCTTCTTTGACACAACGGACACAGGGCTGAGAGAGGGAACGGGGCAGGGTCGGTTTATGCCAAACTTCGCCTGCATCCGGGGAGGGGGGCGTCTGTGGGGGGGGGGGGCTGGGGGGGTCTGTGGGGGCTGGGGGGGTCTGTGGGGGGGGGCTGGGCGGGTCTGTGGGGGGGGGCTGGGGGGGGTCTGTGGGGTGTCTGTGGGGGGGGGCTGGGGGGGTCTGTGGGGGGTCTGTGGGGGTCTGGGGGGGTCTGTGGGGGGGCTGGGGGAACTGTGGGGGGGGGGGCTTCGGGGGGGGGGCTGCTGGGGGGGGGTTAGGGGGGTGCTGAGTTAATTGTAATATTTCACGATGGTCACTGGGGCTCTGAATGTTTTGCTGACAGTTTTTGAATGCTGTTGTCGCTGTTGCCGCTGCCCGTAATCAAACATTCAGTCACGATTCACACGCTGGCTACCATCCGACCCCAGAGCCCTCCTCCTCGTCGTCATCCTCCACCTCCACCTCCTCCACGTGACTCATCCTCTCCTCTTCACGAGCCACGTGTCACCGTGGCGGCCAGGACCCTCGGGCAGCAGCTGATCCCAGTCGCTGGATAATTAAAGGGATCATTCATTGGCGGCTTCACCTTTAAATTCTTCAAGAGGGCCTTTCTACGTTACACCGCCGCCCTCAATTATTCACCCCGCTCGAGGAATTCCCGAGGGGTCTCGTAACGACGACTCCGACTACGAGCTGCCTGCCTCTCGACTCCGCGGTGACGTTGCGGGCCCTGGCACATTACTCGCATGGAGCGCAGCGAGCAGAAGACGCGTGGCGTGCGTCGTTGTCAATCACGCGCGTGTGTGTGTGTACGTGTGTGTGTACGTGTGTGTGTACGTGTGTCGGTGTGTGTGTGTATGTGTGTGTGTGTGTCGGTGTGTACGTGTACGTGTGTGTGTACGTGTCGGTGTGTGTGTGTGTGCACGTGTGTGTGTACGTGTGTGTACGTGTGTGTGTGTCGGTGTGTACGTTTGTGTACGTGTGTGTGTACGTGTCGGTGTGTGTGTACGTGTGTGTGTGCGTGTGTGTATGCGTGTGTGTGTCGGTGTACGCGTGTGTGCGTGTGTACGTGCGTGTGTGTACGTGCGTGTGTGTACGTGTGTGTGCGCGCGTGTGTGTGTGCGCGTGTGTCAGTGTGTGTGTGTCGGTGTGCGTGCGTGTGCGTGTGTTTATGGGGAGCGGTGGTGCAGCGGTTAGCACGCTCGCCACCAGCACTTGCCCCAACATTCTGTTCAGGCTACACGGGGCGTCTCTATCTTTGTTGGGTGGTGTTTGGAGCGGTGGCGCAACTGGTACAAACCTCGTGGGACAAATTAAATTGCTTGTGGGAGGGGCAGGGAGGGGCAGGGAGGGGGAGGGAGGGAGGGGGGTGTTGGGTTCTGTGGGGGGCACCCGGATTAACACGGGGGGGGGGGTGAAACCGATCTATGGTGTCCAATCTCGGCGTCGCTTACATTTTAATTAATCAGCACCACCACCACCACCCGCAGTGAGGACCCCTCCCCCTCCAGCGAGTGTCATCCCCTAGTGAGTGTCACCCTCTAGTGTCACCCCCTAGTGAGTGTCACCCCCTAGTGAGTGTCACCCCCTAGTGAGTGTCACCCTCTAGTGTCACCCCCTAGTGAGTGTCACCCTCTAGTGTCACTCTCTAGTGAGTGTCACCCCCTAGTGAGTGTCACCCTCTAGTGTCACCCCCTAGTGAGTGTCATCCCCTAGTGTCACCCTCTAGTGAGTGTCACCCTCTAGTGTCACCCTCTAGTGAGTGTCACCCTCTAGTGAGTGTCACCCTCTAGTGTCACTCTCTAGTGTCACCCTCTAGTGTCACCCCCTAGTGTCACCCTCTAGTGAGTGTCACCCTCTAGTGAGTGTCACCCTCTAGTGTCACCCTCCAGTGAGTGTCACCCTCCAGTGAGTGTCACCCTCTAGTGAGTGTCACCCTCTAGTGAGTGTCACCCTCTAGTGTCACCCCCCAGTGAGTGTCACCCCCCAGTGAGTGTCACCCTCTAGTGTCTCCGCTCTAGCCCCCATGTCTCCACAATATTCAGTTGCTCATTCGTCCGACCAGCTGTGATGTTCATTGCATCAACGTAGACTCAATTTTTTTTACATTATTATAATATTTCATATGAATAATGGAAGTCCGTCTGTCTCTCTGTTCCGGATACAAATCCACGCCGTTTAAAGCTATCGCCACCAAACTTGGTGCCGACATCTTATATAGAAACTCCCTTCTTTGCAGTGAGTTATCAACTTTTACACTATTTACATTTAACATCATTAACACTCAAATTACTTTCAACCCTTACATGCTGATTTGAAATACAGACGTGTGTGCGTGGCTGAGCGAGCGGATGCGTGATTGCACGGGTGAGATAGCGCGTGAGAAAGTTGTCTGCGTACGTGAGAGATTGTGAGTTCGTGGGTGAGTTTGCTAACACACGTGCGACATTATTCTCATCATTATTATATTTGGAACAGCAAAATCTTAACTCATTAAGCCCCCACCTTCTGAACACCGTGACATGAGTCACTCGACATTCACGAAAGATGTACCCGAGCAACGCCGGGTATTCCCTGCTCGTAAGTTATCCGTGTAACATGTCCTCTTACCTGTGTCTCTACAGTATTCCCAGGTCTCCACGTCTCATGCCCAGTGTCCTTGTGTCCCCACGCCCTCTCACCGCATGTCTCCGTGTCTCTCTGTCCCCAATATTCCCTCGTCCCCGTGTCTACGATGTTTATCAGTCTCCCTTTTATCCGGCGGCACGGTGGCTCGGAGATTTTAACTGCCTCGCCCGGTATACAGGAGGTCGTGGGTTTGATCCCAAACCCTGACGCCCGCTGCTGTATATTTGGAGTGGTGGCGTGCATTTTTCTCCGGTTTTTCCATCCATATTCAGAATCGACATCACGTTTTCAGAGTAGTTGACTACTGTACATTTCCACGTGAAATGACACTTTGTTGACGTACCACTTGTGGCCACAAAAAGAGCCATACAGCTCCGTAGGGCCTTACACCTGCTAAAATAAAACATGGCTTGATAAACCCAATACCTCCGTCTCTCTAACCCTGACCCTGCGACCCCGCGACCCCGTGACCCCGTGCCCTGTGCCTGCTGAGCGCAGCATCCAGTACTGGGCGACTCGCATCTCCACGGAGTTGGACAAAGTGCTGCATCAGGCTAGCGGCATGGATCAGCTGCGGGAGGTATGTCCGGCAGATTCCTTTCACTCGGGGGGGGGGGGGGAGGAGCGGTGTGTTCAGGCACGGGGGAGGTGTTCGGCACATATTTTTTGGTGTTCAGGTAGGGGTGGTGTTCTGGCAAAGGTGGTGTTGAGGCGTGAGTGGTGTTCGTGCAAGGGTGTTGTTCAGTCAAGCATGGTGTTCAGCTAGGGATGGTTAGGTTCAAGCAAGGGGTGGTGTCTATGCAAGTGTGTTGTTTAGGCATGGGCGGTGTTCAGGCATGGGAGATGTGAATTTCTCTCTGCACGTTGCTCCCGTCTGGCCGTTCGTGGACGCGCAGCGGTCTCAATGTCATCGTCGTCACCACCATCATCATCGTCGTCGTCATCGTCGTCACGGCCGTCATCATCGTCATCGTCGTCATCGTCATCACCGCCATCATCATCGTCATTCGTTTCCTTCTCCTCTGCCCAATGGCATCGCGAGACTTCGGAGCTCACTGCAGCGAGTGGTTGGTGGCGCCGCCGCAACGTTAGCAGACGGCACCGCGGAAGTTGATGTCAAAGAACTGCTTCTGAGGTCTCGTCGCCCACGATGCCGCCCAAAACGCCGCTTCCTCCAGATCACAGCGCTCGCTCAGTCTGCTTTGCAGTGTAAAAGCGGACGTTGCGAGTGTGTGACTTCGTGTGTCGGCGTGTGTGTTAGTGTGCTCACAACAATGAGGGGAGCGCCGGGCGGCTAAAACACAGCTGGTTGGCACAGAAGGGGGCACAGGTAGTGCATCGGCCAGTCATCTCTGTCAGTCAACCTATGGCACCTACTGGGTCTGCCGTGTGACCTCCTGCCGGTGGGCGTTCGACAGTTCACGTGGCCTTAACGTGCACATGGCCTGGCACAAGCGCATTGGTGATGTCACCGCCACTTAGTGACCAATGGCAGTCGTTGTTAGTGTGCTGATGACCAGGTCTGGTTTGGCAGCAAAGGTCTCCAAATCGGTCAAGCAGCATTATCTTTTCATCAGCTGCTGAACGCAGCCGTGTTAGAATCTACCTGGCCTGTCACTCCACAAGAAGCTGCGGGTCTTCTCGGCCACAGCGATGCCCTCCCTTCTCCATGCTGCCGAAACGTGGACCCCCTCGAAAGGAACATCGGCGCCGAGGTTTGACACGTTCACGCTGGCCCTGCCAACGATCCATCCTGGGTTTTAACCGGAGTGGATCGCGCGAGGAGCTCACGCGATCCTTGAAAGATCCTGAAAACAGTCGAATTAGTGGCTGGGTCGTGTCGCCCGCGTGGCCGGCCACAAACAACGACGAATCCGGCGACGTATCGAGGCGGGATCGCGGCGAGAGAGGCGGACGATGCATGCTGGAGAGCGCTTGTGGCCTCGTGAATGCACACCGCCACTGCCGGCATCCTGTGTCACCGCGGTTCGCACGCCGGTGCCACCGCGGCAGAGCCACCATCGGCTCCGGGACCGTAGCTCCCATTTGCCGACGGCTTTCCGTGAATGCCGCGCGCGAGCTGCTGTTGCCACGCCGTGTGCGCCGTTCGCGGTGAATTCGTGATTTTTTTGTTCTTTTAAAAATTGTATTTCCCCGGCGCCGGATCCCGGCAGCCGTTGGAACTCGCGACGCGCTGATCGGCCGTGACAGCGCGAGCCCGCAACGTTTTGCGTTGAATTTGTACCCCACTTGGAAGCCCCTCCAACCCCCCCCAACCCCCCCCCCCCTTGTTGGCAATTCTTCAAAGGGCCCGCCGCCGGTTTTCGTCAAACCGCGCCACCACGATTACAACGATGACAACGGCCTCTCCATTATTCATGCCGACCAGCGCGCGTGCGGGCGGGCGTGCGGGCGGGCGTGTTGCATCGCTTAGTTGGGACGCGACACGTGTGTCGGCGCGTTAGTGATCAGCGGGCGACGGAGTGCGTCGTCGTCGTCATCGTTATCATTATCGTCGTCATCGTCGTCGTCATCGTCGTCATCATCACCATTGCCTTCGTCGTCGTCATCATTGTCGTCGTCCTCATCATTGTCGTCGTCGTCGTCATTGTCGTCATTGTCGTCGTCGTCATTGTTGTCCTCATCATTGTCGTCGTCGTCATTGTCGTCGTCATTGTCGTCGTCGTTATTGTCGTCGTCGTCATCGTCATCATTATCGTCATCATCGTCATCATCGCCTTCATCGTCGTCATTATCATCGTCGTCGTTGTTGTCATCGTCATCATCGCCATTGCCTTCGTCCTCATCATCGTCGTCGTCATTGTCGTCATCGTCGTCATCATTGTCGTCGTTGTCGTCATCGTCATCATCGCCATTGCCTTCGTCGTCATCATCGTCGTCGTCATCATCGTCGTCGTCATCGTCGTCGTCGTCGTTATCATTGTCGTCGTTATCATCATCATTATCGTCGTCGTCGTCATCCTCGTCGTCGTTGTCGTCATCGTCATCATCGCCATTGCCTTCGTCGTCGTCATCATCGTCATCATTGTCGTCGTCATCATCGTCGTCGTTGTCGTCATCGTCATCATCGCCATTGCCTTCGCCTTCATCATCGTCGTCGTCATCATTGTCGTCGTTATCATCATCATTATCGTCGTCATCGTCATCCTCGTCGTCGTTGTTGTCATCGTCATCATCGCCATTGCCTTCGTCGTCGTCATCATCGTCATCATTGTCGTCATCGTCGTCGTCATCGTCGTCGTCATCGTTGTCGTCATCGTCGTCGTCATCGTCGTCGTCGTCATCATCGTCGTCATCATCGTCGTCATCATCGTCGTTGTCGTCATCGTCATCATCGCCATTGCCTTCGTCCTCATCATCATCGTCATCATCATCGTCGTCGTTGTCGTCGTTGCTCTCGTGGCTGCTCTCGCCTGGCGCCGGCTCTCTTGCTCCGTCAAAGAGGCCCGCCGTGACGATACATTCCCCATCGTCCCTCCCCTCCCCTCCTCCCCTCCTCCCCTCCTCCCCTCCCTCTGTCTTCCCCTCTCTCTGCGCCCCGTGGTTGAGCTGCGGCACCGCGAGCCGCGCAGTCGCTCGCCGCTTGCGCTGCAGGGAGCCCCCCGGGAGTCGGCGGGGGGGCGGGCGAGCAAACGCCCCTCCCCCCCCCCCCTCTTGTGACGTGGGGCCACCGATCGGCCCGCGGCGTCGCCGACTGCACGGAACCGTGGGCCGAGTCGCTGGCATGCTCACGGTGCCAGCGGCGTCGCCGCAGGGATACTCGCAGGGTCCCACAGGGTCCCGCAGGGATACTCGCAGGGTCCCGCAGGGTCCAGCAGGGATACTCGCAGGGTCCCGCAGGGTCCAGCAGGGATACTCGCAGGGTCCAGCAGGGATACTCGCAGGGTCCCGCAGGGTCCCGCAGGGATACTCGCAGGGTCCCGCAGGGTCCAGCAGGGATACTCGCAGGGTCCCGCAGGGTCCAGCAGGGATACTCGCAGGGTCCCGCAGGGTCCAGCAGGGATACTCGCAGGGTCCCGCAGGTACCGCAGGGTCCCGCAGGGATACTCGCAGGGTACCGCAGAGTCCCGCAGGGTCCTGTAGAGTCCCACAGGTACCGCAGGGTCCCGCAGAGTCCCGCAGGGATACTCGCAGGGTCCCGCAGGGTACCGCAGGGTCCCGCAGGTACCGCAGGGTCCTCCCGCAGGGCATCCCAGAATACTCGCAGGGCACCGCAGGGTCCCGTGCTCTGCTTGTTAAACTCCGCGCTCAACGCCGGATATTGAACACCCGACGGGCATCTCTCCTCGCAAATAAATACAAATTAAAACCTCCACGACCCCGCCTTTAATGTATTATTTAAAAATGTATAATATATTTCTGCCGCGTAATCCCGTTTTGGGGGGGGGGGGGGGAAACGAAATCCCACAAATCTGAGCCGGTTACCTGGGCAACCCCCAAACGACCGTGCGGCCCCATGAATAATTGAGGTGCTCGCTCGCCCCCCCCCCCCCCCCCCCGGGACGCCCCCGCCCAGCCGTCGCGGCCTCCACCGAACCCCCCCCCACCCCCCCACCATCCTTGAGCGCCGCCGCCCGTTAACTCCTTCGCAGCGAGACAGAGCGATCCTGCCCCTCCCCTCCTCCTCCTCCTCCTCCATCCACCCTCGCTGTCACAGTGGGAGACGGAGCGCCTCGCGCCAACAACGTCACGGGTTCGAATGCCGACTCGGAACACTCTGAGCGTGTGTGTGTGTGCGTGTGTGTGTGGGTGTGTGTGTGTGTGTGCGCGTGTGTGTGCGCGTGTGTGTGTGTGTGCGTGTGTGTGTGTGTGCGCGCGCGCGCGTGTGTGTGTGTGTGTGTGCGCGTGTGTGTGCGCGTGTGTGTGTGTGTGCGTGTGTGTGTGTGTGCGCGTGTGCGCGCGTGTGCCAATATGCCGAGCTACGCCGCCTACCCATTGAACATGGCATCGCTGACGCGCTGTGCCTCGCCGTCTGCACAGATCGCTGCTTCCGCCTCGTCTTGCCGAGATCGGCGCGTGCCGGTCTCGGCAGGGTCGAACAACCGTCAGCAGGGCGGTCGGGCAGTGGCAGAACACGCGTGTGCCAGCAAGGACACTCAATTGATTTTGACGATATTGAGGTTTTGTGTGAAACTAGTAACGACTGGCCAATACCAATTAGATAATCTATTGAAATTGAGAGAAGAAAATAATAATTTGAAAACGTGTTGATAGCTACAGGCTTGGTGCTGCTTGGAAGCGTGTTATCAAGTAATATATTGATTAATTGCACACCTATGCAGGCCATTCCACTGTGTGTAGATTAACTGTGAGCAGCCAATAATAGGTAGTGCGTATTCTCTGCACATTGTCAGATTAATGCAATGTACATACATTGTGAATGTTGATTCTCTGTGAATAACATAACCAATTATAGGTCCTGCATATTCTCATATTCGCATGATCTCACTGTAACATTAACCCCCATCTGGTCACCGCACCTGATAGGGCCATGCAGGCAGTGGAGGTGGTGGGGATGGTTCAAGTGGTGGGGCCGGTGGGGGAGGTGGGGGTTGTGGGGGAGGTGGGGGTGGTGGTGGTGAGGGTCGTAGTCTCAGGAGACCTCTGCCGCACCTCTAAGTGGTCTCAGCCATTATCGCCAAACGAACAATTGGAGTTGTGCCTCTGGGTCTCCCGGCTCGCTGCTCACACAACCACGGGGGGGGGGGGGGGGGCGTCTCGGGGGCACGTTGAGGGGTTAGGGACCTCCTTGGTGGGATCGGTGACTCTGGAAGAGCCTCTCTGGGTTCCTTTTTATTTTGCTTGTTGACGCTTTCCAGCCTAAGTAGAGAGCGTTTGTCTCTGTCCCTCTGTCTGTTCCTCCATGCGTCTGTGTTTGTCCATCTGTTTCTGTCCGTCCAACGTTTAGTCTCTATCTCTGTCCATCCGTCCATCATTTGTCCGCCTGTTCTTTGTCTGTCAATCCTCCATTCCCTCCGTGCGTCTCTGTCCGTCCTTCCATTTGTCCCTTTGTCCATCTGTGCCTCCCTCTCTCCGTCTGTGCGTCCCTCTGTGCATCACTCTATGTCTGTTTGTGCGTCCCCCTCTGTCAGTCCAACTGGACGCGACGTTTTGGACAGCCCCGCACCCTCGTTGTAATGATCTGGCTTCGCGTTAGCCGGGTAGCAAGTTTGTTAAAACCCTCCGCCCCTGGTGCACCCAGCAGTAGCAGCAGCAAGAGCAGCAGTAGCAACAGCAGCAATAGCAACAGCAGCAGAAACAGCAGTAGCAGCAACAATAACAACAGCAGCAACAACAGCAGCGTAAATGGGTTCATTGCGGTTAACCCTTTACCGTTCCGAGACCACTGCAAGTTGCGTGGTGTGGGGGGTCCCTCATTTACCGACGAATTTCGGAACGTACGCGAGAGGTTCCGCGTGAATTTGATGCAGGGAGGCGTAGTATTTGTAGTAGTAGTGGCAGCGCCGTTGTTTTTGATGACGTTGGTACTCACCGCAGAGAACCGTAGCGACGCGACCGCCGCCGCACTCTACGATATCCGGCCCCAAAACCGTGCCGCACGCCCTCCCAGCCGCATGGCCTTGTGGGAGCCTCGGTACCGATGACGTTATATTCGCGTAATTTTTCTTCCGGGTTCCGTTGCGATGACGTGGGGTACACTTAACGTCATCGGGACGGTTGTTGGAAGGAAAACCGATGATGTACACACATGTATGTACGTCATCAGAACGGTTGTTGGAAGGAAAACCGATGACGTACACAGGAAAGGGTTGACGTCGATCGGCAGGCCGGCGCTCGGTGGGGTAAAGTGTGGGTGCTTCCATCTCTTTGGAGGCTTACTGGCCGGCCGGCGTGGAAGAGAGTGGAGCCAGGTGCCCCCTCCAGAGGGCCTCCATGTGGCTGCATCTTGCGGACGCCCCCATCCACCTGCAGTGGCCTCAGCAAGCTCCTGCAGGGCTGCATCTTTTTGCCATTGAGCGTGAAACGTTTCAAGAAAGAAAAAAACGTGCATCCTCATCGTCATCCATCCAGGGTCTGTAAAATGTGTCTACTGCCACGATTGTGCAAAAAAGGCATCACGAGTTGCTCCTGGGGTGGGACAGCCTTATCCCTGGCATGAGAATGTGGAATCTCCACCACCGGAGCGGAGATGAGCGCCGCTTCGCTGAGCGGGGAGGCGCTGCGTTCGGTGTCCGTGTGTCACGTTTGTGTGCCGGTGTCTTCATCTTTTGTCTCTGCGTCTCCCTTTGTGTGTCTGTGTTTGTCTCCGTTTGTATGTTTATGTCTGAGTGTCTCTGTGTCTATGCATCTCCGCGTCTCTAAGTCTCCGTGTCTCTGTCTGGGTCTCCGCCTGTGGAGTCTCCGTGTGTCTGTCTGGGTCTCCGTGTCTCTGTCTGGAACTCTGTGTGTGGAGTCTCCGTGTCTCTGTCTGGGTCTCCGTGTGTCTGTCTGGGTCTCTGTGTCTCTGTCTGGGTCTCCGTGTGTCTCTCTGGGTCTCCGTGTGTCTGTCTGGGTCTCCGTGTGTGGAGTCTCCGTGTGTCTATCTGGGTCTCCGTGTGTGGAGTCTCCATGTCTCTGTCTGAGTTTCTGTGTCTCTGTCTGAGTCTCCGTGTGTCTGCCTGGGTCTCCGCCTGTGGAGTCTCCGTGTGTCTGTCTGGGTCTCCGCGTGTCTGTCTGGGTCTCCGTGTGTCTCTCTGGGTCTCCGTGTGTCTGTCTGGGTCTCCGTGTCTCTGTCTGGGTCTCCGTGTGTCTGTCTGGGTCTCCGTGTCTCTGTCTGGGTCTCCGTGTCTCTGTCTGGGTCTCCATGTGTCTCTCTGGGTCTCCGTGTGTCTGTCTGAGTCTCCGTGTCTCTGTCTGAGTCTCTGTCTGAGTCTCCGTGTGTCTGTCTGGGTCTCCGCCTGTGGAGTCTCCGTGTGTCTGTCTGGGTATCCGTGTGTCTGTCTTGGTCTCCGTGTGTCTGTCTGGGTCTCCGTGTGTGGAGTCTCCGTGTGTCTGTCTGGGTCTCCGTGTGTCTGTCTGAGTCTCAGTGTGTCTGTCTGTGTCTCCGCCTGTGGAGTCTCCGTGTGTCTGTCTGGGTCTCCGTGTCTCTGTCTGGGTCTCCTTGTGTCTGTCTGGGTCTCCGTGTCTCTGTCTGGGTCTCCGTGTCTCTGTATGGGTCTCCGTGTCTCTGTCTGGGTCTCCGTGCGTCTGTCTGGGTCTCAGTGTCTCTGTCTGGGTCTCCGTGTCTCTGTCTGGGTCTCCGTGTGTCTGTCTGGGTCTCCGTGTCTCTGTCTGGGTCTCCGTGTCCCTGTCTGAGTCTCCGTGTGTCTGTCTGGGTCTCCGTGTGTCGGTCTGGGTCTCCGTGTCTCTGTCTGAGTCTCCGTCTCTCTGTCTGAGTCTCCGTCTCTCTGTCTGAGTTTCCGTCTCTCTGTCCGTGTCTCCGTCTCTCTGTCCGTGTCTCCGTCTCTCTGTCCGTGTCTCCGTCTCTCTGTCCGTGTCTCCGCCTGAGTGTCCACATGTGGTGTCTCCGTGTCTGGTCACGTGCAGATCTACCACAAGCACAAGTCGCTGTTCGAGCTGAGGAGAAACGAGGCTGAGCACCTGGTGAACACGGCCTCCATCAAGATCAAGAACCTGCTGAGCAAGAGGGTCCACGCTCTGGAGGCACGTGGTCATCCTCACGCCACGCGGGGACATGTGTGTGTATGGTGTGTGTGTGGCGTGTGTGGTGTGTGTGGCATGTGTGGCATGTGTGGCATGTGTGTGGTGTGTGTGTGTGGTGTATGTGTGTGGTCTATGTGTATGGTGTGTGTGTGTAAACGTCTCCTGGCCAACCCCCATTTGGCGGAGCCAGGCGACTGAATCCTTACCCTTGGGGCTCCTCCAGAAACAACATGTCACTTCGGATGGACACGTGGAATGTTCGAATGCTCACTGTGGAGGAGAGGCGTCCACTCCTCCGTCGGGAGCTGGACCGGTACCACCTGGATCTCTGTGGTATTCAGAAGGTCTGGTGACCGGCTCTGGCTCCTGCCACTATGAGGGGTGGACAGCCTCTACCCGTGGCAGGAGACTGCCAAACAACAGGGAGTGGCTCTTCTTCTGAACAAAAGTAATGAAGGGGGCGTGGGAGCGTGGCAGTGAGGTGTGAGAAACTGTAATCCCCAGGCTACTTTGGGCTCGCCGTCCCATTAACCAGAGGCGAGGAGTGGTGGTCGTGGTTACTTATGCCCCCACCGAAGACGAGCATCCGTGGAGGGATGCAGGCAAGGCCAATGAGTGAGATGCCTTCTATGACAGGAGGTCATAGAAGGCTGAAATTCGCTTATAACTGTCTCTAACTTGCTTACCCGTGCCCCTATTGGACATCTGGGAAAAGAGCTTCATAGCTCATCGGTTTCCTCCTCCAGTCTAAATAAAGATTCTCATCCTGATGTCGAGGCCTGCTGGAGGTGGTGGTAGTGGCGCGGTGGGGGAGCGGTGGTGTCGCTGTCAGTGCTGCGCCGCGCCACGAACCTGGCAGGCCCGGGTTCAAGTCCAGCTTACGGCCATCGACACAAGTGACAATTATCTGAACAGGTCCTGGGCCTCCCCTAGGTCGACTCGGCCTCAAATGAGCACCTGACCTGGTGCGGTGTGTAGTAAACATCACCACTGGGGGACAAAGGCTTCCGGGCGTGGTGTTGGCCAACCACCCCCTCGTGTGCCGACCTTCACAGGTGCTGCTCGCTAACAGCACTTTCCCCAACAGTCTGCTCAGGCTACATGGTGATTGGAGCGTGAGTGGAGCGTGAGACACGACATCGGAAGATTTATCGTTGGAATCTCCGATCGAGGAGTTGGCTCACAATCTTGAAGTGTCAATCCTTGCGGTCGCCATCATCGTCGGTCGATCGCCACGGGCAGTGCGGTCCCCATCAGTTGCGGTGCGGGAAGTCGAATGGCGACGATCGATCGTTGAGCGGCGTGCCGCCAATTCGGAGCCGGGCTTCTCGGTGAGCGTAGGCGGTGGGGGCCGGCCGGCGAGGGCTGCCCGGCTCTGGTAGGAGGACGGGCGTTTGTGGGGTGCCACGGTGGCTAGGAGATGTTTACTCCTTCGCCCGGTATGCAGGAGGTCGTGGGTTCGATTCTGATCCTGACGCCTGCTGTACATCATTATCATCATCACGGTGGCTAGGGGATGTTAACTGCCTCGCCTGGTGTATATGAGGGTGGTGGGTTCAATCCCGGCCCTTACAGCCTGCTGCTGCTGTGTATGTGCAGTTTGCGGTGTCTCTCTCTCTCCCCGTGGTCGCGTGGATTTTTCTCCAGGTCCTCCGGTTTTTAGAATCAACATCACCACGCGTTTAGAGTATTTGGCTTCTATAAATTACCACGCGATGATGATGATAAGCCACTTCGTTGACCTATCGTTTCCAATGGCCAGGCCACTCCTGAAAAAGAGCCACCTAGCAGCTCAGTAGCAGGGGGCCTTACCTGCTCAGTTATAAAATGGATTAGGACGACGTTCCGCTGGAGACGGCTGCAATCATCGTCGACGACAGCCGAGCCCTTGTGAACGCCTGACGACCATGCTGGGTGCAGTCTGCAGCGGAACGTCGGACAGAACGTCACTTGGGCTGTTTAACGATCCCCCTCCTCCCTACTCGCTGTTGCTACTGCTGCTACTGCTGCTCCAGTTCTGCTGAAGAAACCAACTCGACTGGCACACTTGCCCCTTGACTTGACAGCTTGGAGGATCTCGTCAGCGGTGCGACTGAAGCCGAGAGAGAATGTCGCGTTCTTGAATCGTAACAGGCGACGTTTCTAGGCTCCCTCCCTCCCCGCCGCGTACCGGACGAGCGGGCGACGCCCCCCCCGGCGAGCCGGGTGGTCGCAGCCCGTGACCGCACTGACCGCTGTCGCTCGACGCTGTGCCGCAGAAACTCACCAAGGCCGCCGAGGACCTGCAGAAGCGACACACCTGGAAGGACCACATCCAGGTGCGTGGGGCCGGCGGCTCCCTTGCGGGCCCGCGACGCGTTGTACGCGTTGCACGCTGCACGCTTTGCACACGTTACACTTTTGCACACGTTGCACATATTGCACACGTTGTACTTTTGCACACATTGCACGCGATTGCACTTTTGCACGCATTGCGCGCTGCAGGTTTTGCACACGTTGCACGTTTGCGCACGTTGCACGCACAAAGCTTCGTACACATTGCACACGTTGCACTCGCGACGCGTCGCACAAGTTGCACGGCGCGTTTTGAGAGCGAGACACAAAGGCGGCAGTGATGGCGGTGGCGGGGGGGTGCGATGGTTGACCGACACAACCTCACTGCCATCTGCGAATCACGAAGCAACGAGCGGTGAGCGAATTGCAGAGAGTGTGCGGATTGTGTGCGCGCATTTGCGGAGCAGTAACCACCCCGGGCTACGAACCCGATTCCCGCTCGCCAGTGACGATCATCTGAATTGTTACTGGGCCTCCCCTAGGTCGACTCGGCCTCAAATAAATACCATTTGAAGTGTGTAAACAGCTCCACTAAGGAGACAAAGGCGGCCGGGCGTGGTGCTGGCCACCCACCCCCTCGTGTGCCGTGCTGGCCTTCATAGCTGCTCGCGAATAGCACTTGCCCCAAGAGTGTATTAAGGCTATATGGGTGATCTTTGTCTTTGTGTGTTGTCGTGTGTGTTTGTGTTCGTGAAGCACAAATCAAATAACAATTGTGATATCAAGGTCGGGCGAGAAGCCGCGGAGAAACCGAATCTGCCTTGCAAAGGCAGTGGCCGTGATGAAACACAAAGACAAAGATCACCCGTGTAGCCTGCAACAGACTGTTGGGGCAAGTGCTGTTAGCGAGTAGCACCGGTAAAGGGCCGGCACTTCACACGAGGGGTTGTGAGTGGCCAGTACCACGCCCGGCCGCCTTTGTCTCCCCAGGCGATGTCTAGACATAGGACCAGGTCCTTATTTTAGGCTGAGTCGACCTAGGGGAGGCCCAAGATTGGTTCAGATGTTCACTGGTCGTTGGCCGTGAGCGGAAATTGAGCTCGGGCCATCGGCGTCGTCGAGCAGCGCGTTAACTGCTGCCATCCAAATACACAAACACACACACATACACATATACACACACATACACACATACACACACACATACACACACACACATACACACACACATACACACATACACACATACACACACACATACACACACATACTCACATACACACACATACACATACATACACACACATACACATACACACACATACACATACATACACATACACACACATACACACATACACACACACATACACATATACACACACATACACACATACACACACACATACACAAACACATACACACATACACACACACATACTCACACACATACACACACATACACACACACATACACACACATACACACATACACACACATACGCACACACACATACACACCCATACATACACACACATACACACACATACACACAACAACAACTGCCATTCGCCACTAAGTGGCGGTGACGTCACCACGACGCTTGTGCCAGGCCATGTGCACCTTGAGGCCACGTGAAGTGTCGAACGCCCGCTGGCAGGAGGTCACGGGGCAGACCCAGGTGCCACGGGTCGACTGACTGAGATGACTGGCTGATGCACCACCTGTGCCCCCTACTGTGCCAATCTGCTGTGCTTTAGCCACCCGGCGCTTCGCTCGTTGTTGTGAGCGTCGCTCCTCCGCTCTCCGTTGTTGTTGGAGGGCGACTGGCCTCCAACTGCCCAGTAGCGTCCTTCACGAGCCTCCTCCACAGAGGCCGATCTTGACACCGCTGGTACCAGTCATCGGCAAGTCCACTCAGCTCCACGTCCTCCTGTACCACATCACTCCATCTCTTCTCTAGCCCGTGCCGCGCCCGTTTAGCCCCCTCGATCCAGCTGAACAAAAGCTGTTTCGGCATGCGGTGGCTGAGAATGTGGGCTACATGATCCAGCCATCGCAGCCTTGCCCGCCGGAGGAGCTCAACGATGGGACCTTGCCCAGATCTTTCAAGGATTTGTGAGCTCCTCACACAATCCATTCTGGTTAAACCCAGGATGGATCGTAGGCAAGCTAGCCTAAATGTTTCTAACCGGCAAAGATGTTCCATTCGGGGGGTCCACGTTTCGCAAGCGTAGAGAAGGGAGGGAATGACCGTGGCCGAGAAGACCTGAAGCTTAGTGCGGAGCGACAGACCAGGTAGCTTCCACACAGCGTTACGCAACCGATGAAAAGATATTGCCGCTCGACTGATTCGGAGTGAGACCTCTGCTGTTAATGGAGCCGGTCATAATCACACTGCCCAGGTATGGGAAACTCTCCATTCTCTCCACAACTGCCCCATCACCGATTGGGAGTTGTGGGGGTGGAGTGTCCGATGGTACAAAATACCCAGGCAGGTGCTTAGTTTTGGTGGGGCTGATGGACAGGCCCCATCTCTTAGTGGCACGCTCCAGTCTCAGCAGCAGCGTCTCCAACTCCTCCTCTGAATGAGCAGCTATTACCAAATCATTGGCATACATAAGGTGGTTGAGCAATAGGGAGCCATCCCTTGACCGCACCCGGGCATCGACCAGCCTCCCATTATATATGTACCAAATGGAGATTCCCCCGGTACAGCTATTGAAGGCTTCACGAACTACGTGGTCAAAATAGATGTTAAATAATGTGGGAGCCAGAGGACATCCCTGTCGCACCCCAAGGTGTACAGGGAATGGCTCGGACTCCCGGCCTACTTAGTTTTACCCGTGCCCGCTCACCATCATGAACGTCCTTAATGATCGTGAGCAGATGGTCAGGGACTTCAAAAGCATGAAGAAAAACCCAGAGCCCAGGCCTACTGATGGTATCATAGGCCTTGACCAGGTCAATAAAGCAGAGATGTAGGTCTTGCTGGAATTCCCTTAACCTCTGCTGTAGCAGACGGACAGAAAATATGGCATTTGTGCAGGACCGCCCTTTCCTGAAACCGCATTGGGGCTCCGCAAGCCTCTCCTCAGCGTGCCTGGCAACGCGATGTTGAATGATCCTTGCCAGGATTTTTCCCGGCACACTAAGGAGTCAGATGCTCCTGTAGTTGTTCCAGTCTATGCGGTCCCCCTTCTTAAAGAGGGGGACCACCAGGGCATCCTTCCAATCATGCGCAATCCGTCCAGTGGTCCAGACTGTTGTTATGATGTCATATAGCGCAGTCTGTGCACAAACGCACACACACTGACACACACACACTGACACACACACACTGACGCACACTGACACACACACACACACGCGAGCACGCCTAGCATCGGTTTTTCCCTCCCCATTTAGAAACATGTTTTTAGATTATTACATTCTTGAGATTATTTGGCTTCTCTAAATGTCCAAATGATTGGCCACTTTGTTGAGCGGCTATTATTTGTGATGACGAGGTCTCATCAGTGGGGTCAGCAAGGTCTATTGAGCAAACTTTGCCAGGACCTGTCTTCGAATCGTGTCTCTTTGGTGATAATGATGATGATGTTGTAGATGTTGATGAGGACGATGTCGATGATGATGCTTTTGATGATGTTGACGATGATGTTGATGATAATGTCGAGTATTATATTGGTGCTGATTATTATGTTTTTGTAGTTTATGATGTTGTTGATAATGATGTTCACGATGTTGATGATGATGTTCATAATGTTGTTAAAGTTGATGATGTTGATGTTGTTGATAAGGATGTTCATGATGTTGTTGATGATGATAATGTTGTTGATGATGATGATGTTGTTGATGTTGATTATGGTGTTGTTAATGATGTTGATGATGATGTTAATAATGTCTCCTCTCTACAGGAGGCCGATGTTTCCTACTATGACGCCAAGCAGCACGTGAAGGTAGGCACACCTCACTCGCATTGGAACGATCATCACGACGACTTCAATGACGACTACGACGATGACGACGATGACAACGAAGACGACGATGATGACACCGTGGGATATCAACTACACTGCAGGCTCTCCCTGCGCAGGGCCGCACACCGGATGAGATGTTCACGCGGCTCATCGCAGATGCAGCGCAGCGCGTCCGCGTGGCGAATGAAGGCGCGCCAGTCTATGGTCCAGTGCATTGTGGGTTGCCTGGATTGTGGATGACGACGATGATGACAACGACGGTGACGTCACAATGCGGCGGGGTTGCTTCCCATGGCGGTGCTGCCGTGCCGTTGGCGGATCGCCTCCAAACGCTCGGAGCTTCCTCCTCCTGTCCCGTGCCGGAATCGTCGCGTTCGGTTCCTGAAGAAGGTCGTCTGATCGAACCGTCGGATGTCGTTTCGATCAGACGACGATGGCGACGGACGGGCGGCAGCGGCGGTGGCGGCGGCGATGAACTATGGTGGCGTCTCATACTAGAGAAGATGTCTCATACTAGAGAAGACGTCTCATACTAGAGAAGACATCTCTTATTTAGTATGTGATGTCTTCTCAAGTATGAGACGTCTTATTTAGTATGAGACGTCTTCTCTGGTATGAGATGTCTTCTCTGGTATGAGACGCCTTCTCTAGTATGAGACGTCTTCTCTGGTATGAGATGTCTTCTCTGGTATAAGACGTCTTCTTAAGTAGAGACGTCTTATTTAGTATGAGACGTCTTCTCTTGTATGAGATGTCTTCTCTAGTATGAGACGTCTTCTCTAGTATGAGATGTCTTCTCTAGTATGAGATGTCTTCTCTAGTATGAGACGTCTTCTCAAGTATGAGACGTCTTATTTAGTATGAGACGTCTTCTCTGGTATGAGACGTCTTCTCAAGTATGAGATGTCTTCTCTGGTATGAGATGTCTTTTCTGGTATGAGATGTCTTCTCTAGTATGATACGTCTTATTTAGTATGAGACGTCTTCTCTAGTATGATATGTCTTCTCTAGTATGAGATGTCTTCTCTAGTATGAGACGTCTTCTCTGGTATGAGATATCGTCTCTGGTATGAGATGTCTTCTCTAGTATGAGACGTCTTCTCTTGTATGAGATGTTTTATTTAGTATGAGATGTCTTATTTAGTATGAGACGTCTTCTCTAGTATGAGACGTCTTCTCTAGTATGAGACGTCTTCTCTGGTATGAGATGTCTTCTCTGGTATGAGATGTCTTCTCTAGTATGAGACGTCTTCTCTAGTATGAGATGTCTTCTCTAGTATGAGACGTCTTCTCTAGTATGAGACGTCTTATTTAGTAAGAGACGTCTTCTCTAGTATGAGATGTCTTCTCTAGTATGAGATGTCTTCTCTAGTATGAGACGTCTTCTCTGGTATGAGATGTCTTCTCTGGTATGAGATGTCTTCTCTAGTATGAGACGTCTTCTCTAGTATGAGATGTCTTCTCTGGTATGAGATGTCTTCTCTGGTATGAGACGTCGTCTCTAGTATGAGATGTCTTCTCTAGAATGAGACGTCTTCTCTATTATGAGACGTCTTCTCTGGTATGAGATGTCTTCTCTAGTATGAGACGTCTTCTCTAGTATGAGACGTCTTCTCAAGAATGAGACGTCTTCTCTAGTATGAGATGTCTTCTCTAGTATGAGATGTCTTCTCTAGTATGAGATGTTTGCTCTGGTATGAGACGTCTTCTCTGCTATGATACGTCTTCTCTAGTATGATACGTCTTCTCTGGTATGAGACGTCTTCTCTAGTATGAGATGTCTTCTCTAGTATGAGACGTCTTCTCTATTATGAGACGTCTTCTCTAGTATGAGATGTCTTCTCTATTATGAGATGTCTTCTCTGGTATGAGATGTCTTCTCTAGTATGAGACGTCTTCTCTAGTATGAGACGTCTTCTCAAGTATGAGACGTCTTCTCTAGTATGAGACGTCTTCTCTAGTATGAGATGTCTTATTTAGTATGAGATGTCTTATTTAGTATGCGATGTCTTCTCTAGTATGAGACGTCTTATTTAGTATGAGATGTCTTATTTAGTATGAGACGTCTTCTCTAGTGTGAGACGTCTTATTTAGTATAAGACGTCTTCTCTAGTATGAGACGTCTTATTTAGTATGAGATGTCTTCTCTAATATGAGATGTCTTCTCTGGTACGAGACATCTTCTCTAGTATGAGATGTCTTCTCTGGTATGAGACGTCTTCTCTAGTATGAGATGTCTTCTCTAGAATGAGACGTCTTCTCTAGTATGAGATGTCTTCTCTAGTATGAGACGTCTTCTCTAGTATGAGATGTCTTCTCTAGTATGAGACGTCTTCTCTAGTATGAGATGTCTTCTCTAGTATGAGATGTCTTCTCTAGTATGAGATGTTTGCTCTGGTATGAGACGTCTTCTCTGCTATGATACGTCTTCTCTAGTATGAGGTGTCTTCTCTAGTATGAGACGTCTTCTCTGATATGAGACATCTTCTCTAGTATGAGATGTCTTCTCTGGTATGAGACGTCTTCTCTAGTATGAGATGTCTTCTCTAGTATGAGATGTTTGCTCTGGAATGAGACGTCTTCTCTGCTATGATACGTCTTCTCTAGTATGAGATGTCTTCTCTAGTATGAGACGTCTTCTCTAGTATGAGCCATCTTCTCTGGTATGAGACGTCTTCTCTGGTATGAGATGTCTTCTCTAGTATGAGATGTCTTCTCTAGTATGAGACGTCTTCTCTAGTATGACATGTCTTCTCTAGTATGAGACGTCTTCTCTAGTATGAGATGTCTTCTCTAGTATGAGATGTGTTCTCTAGTGTGAGACGTCTTCTCTGGTATGAGATGTCTTCTCTGTTATGAAATGTCTTCTCTAGTATGAGACATCTTCTCAAGTATGAGACGTCTTCTCTAGTATGAGATGTCTTCTCTAGTATGAGATGTCTTCTCTAGTATGAGACGTCTTCTCTAGTATGAGATGTCTTCTCTAGTATGAGACGTCTTATTTTGTATGAGACGTCTTCTCTAGTATGAGACGTCTTCTCTAGTATGAGACGTCTTATTTAGTATGAGACGTCGTCTCGAGTATGAGATGTCTTCTCTGGTATGAGACGTCTTCTCTAGTATGAGATGTCTTCTCTAGTATGAGATGTCTTCTCTGGTATGAGACGTCTTATTTAGTATGAGACGTCTTCTCTAGTATGAGATGTCTTCTCAAGTATGAGACGTCTTCTCTAGTATGAGACGTCTTCTCTGGTATGAGATGTCTTCTCTAGTATGAGATGTCTTCTCTGGTATGAGACGTCTTCTCTAGTATGAGATGTCTTCTCTAGTATGAGATGTCTTATCTGGTATGAGACGTCTTCTCTGGTATGAGACGTCTTCCCTGGTATGAGACATCTTCTATGGTATGAGACGTCTTCTCTCGTATCACAGCGTGTGTGCGCTTGTGTGACGAAGTGTAGCGGTTGGCACGCTGCTCTTCGAACCCGGCCGACACCAGTGATGATGATTATCTGAACCGGTCCTGGGCCTCCCTTAGGTCGACTTAGCCTCAAATTAGTACCCCGTGTGGTGTGTGAACATCGCCACTGGGGAGACAAAGGCGGTCGGGCGTGGTGCTGGCCACCCACCCCCTATGCGCCTTTCAGGCCTTCATAGGTGCTCGCTGACAAGAACTTGCCCCAACAGTCTGTTTCGGCTAAGAGGGGAATCTCTGTCTTGTGTGTGTGCGTGTGTGTGCGTGTGTGTGTGTGTCCCTACGTTTATGTGTCTATGTGTGTGTGTGTATGTTTATGTATGTGTGTATGTATGTATGTGCGTGTGTGTGTGTGTATGTTTATGTGCGTGTGTGTATGTGCGTGTGTGTGTGTGCATGTGTGTGTGTGTATGTGTGTGTGTATGTGCGTATGTGTGTGTATATGTGTGTGTATGTGTGTGTTTGGAGAGCGGCAGGGCAGCGGTTTGCGCGCTGCGTGACGATGCCGATGGCCCGAGCTCAATTTTCGCCCACGGCCAACGACCAGTGAACATCTGAACTAATCTTGGGCCTCCCCTAGGTCGACTCAGCCTCAAATACGTACCTCGTCCAATGTCTAGACATCGCCACTGGGGAGACAAAGGCGGCCGGGCGTGGTGCTGGCCACTCACAACCCCTCGTGTGAAGTGCCGGCCCTTCACCGGTGCTACTCGCTAACAGCACTTGCCACAACAGTCTGTTGCAGGCTACACGGGGGATCTTTGTCTTTGTGTTTCATCACGGCCACTGCCTTTGCAAGGCAGATTCGGTTTCTCCGCGGCTTCTCGCCCGACCTTGATATCAAAATTGTTATTTGATTTGTGCTACACACGTACAAACACACACACAGACCCACACACACGCGTACAGAGGCAAAGCTCCCCCGTATAGCCTGTAATAAACAGACTGTTGGGGCAAGTGCTGTTAGCGAGCATCTATGAAGGCCTGAAAGGCACACGGGGGGTGGATGGCCAGCACCACGCCCGACCGCTTTTGTCTCCCCAGTGGCCATGTTTACACACCGCACCAGGTACTAATTTGTACACACACACACAAACACTGAGACACACGCGTACACACACACACACTCGTAGACACACACACTGAGACGCACTCGTAGACAACAACAACCGCCATTCGCCAATAAGTGGCGATGACGTCACCACGACGCTTGTGCTAGGCTATGTGCACCTTGAGGCCACATGAAGTGTCGAACGCCCACTGGCAGGAGGTCACGGGGCAGACCTAGGTGCCACGGATCGACTGACTGAGATGACTGGCTGATGCACCACCTGTGCCCCCTACTGTGCCAACCTGCTGTGCTTTAGCCACCCGGCGCTCCGCTCGTTGTTCTGAGCGTCGCTCCTCCGCCCTCCGTTGTTGTTGGAGGGCGACTGCCTCCAACTGCCCAGTAGCGTCCTTCACGAGCCTCCTCCACAGAGGCCGATCTTGACACCGCTGGTAC